GTGTGTGTGTGTGTGTGTGTGTGTGTGTGTGTGTGTGTGTTAACTTAAGTGAATCAGGTAGAGCCTTTCTCGTGTTATTATTTTGGGGGAAAAAATTGCGTTTGAAAATCTGAGAATCCATCTTAAGTACGGTAGGTAAATACGTTCTCATATCACTAGTTCCGAGGAAAAAACAAAAACTTAAGAGGTTTTTAGAATCTATTTTTGTGTACATAAATACATTCTTTTGTCAGCAGTTCCGAGAAAAAAATCGTGTGAGAGCCTTTTAGGATCTATCAGTGTGTAGACTGTCATTGGAACAGGTAGAGGCGGACTAACCCCTTCTAGTTCGGGGAAATTTAGCGTAACAGCTTCTGAGAATCCACCTTTATGTCGACGTCTAATGAATCGGATAGAGACGTTCTCACATTATCAGACGAGGGAAATATTTAACGTATGTGGCTCTGGGAATCTGGACCCAGATTGTTGAGTTATTGCGCCCAGTGTGAGAGAGAAGATTGGTGCACCTTACTTCTGAACACTGAGGCGATGGTTGTGCTTATAGGTATACGAGTACATACATAGACAGGTTAGATCGGTTTTTGTAGGCTTGGTTAGGTTGATTTAATTTATAACCGATATCATCATATTGTGGCATCAGGTGACAACGTAAAAAAATAATTATTAAGGTGAAATTTCGCAAAACATATTTCTCCTGCATGATTTACCAGTTTCTCGGGGTAAGAAACCTTTTATACTCTATGGAAAAATTTCCTTAATTCGGTGCTAAGGCCGGACCACTCTCGTAAAATATTACCATTAAAACAATATGGCATTGGTTGGTGGCGATGCGTCCGTTACCTGAAAACCGAAATAAATCGTAAAAATTTTATCACTCAAAACATATCGCTCGTTCACTTTTCGTTGTTGTCATGAAGGGAAAAAATCATTTATGGTTCTTGAAATTTATTACAGTAGATAGTTAGGAGCTCAACCCATTTGAACTATTACCCATAACTCAACTAATACATATGATAAAAATGGTCGATTAGTTTGTTAAGTCTGGTTGCTGCTTTTTCATGTTTCTAAAGATTTAGTTTTGAAAAGTTAGTCATTTCGTTGTTCCGACACAAGATCCTTAAAGTACAAATACACTGAAGGTAAATGTCACGTGATTCATGATTACATTATCAACTAAATTGTGTTATAGTTAAAGGTAGAATTACATACAAGGGAGTTACAGGTGACCTCTTAACCTAACCTAACCTAACCTAACCACCAATGTGTTAGTTAACTACACACTAAACATTGTTCACTCAATTATATATATAAAATAAAATATTACAAACATTTAAACTTGAAACACAAAAATAAGAAAAAATAGCCCATTTAGAACAACAAGGCTGCTAACTTTTCCCAGCTGTAGTTTGTTTACCAAAATGAGACTCTTTACTTAGGCAATTTGCGATAGTTTTTTTCTGGACCATCTGTACGTGAATACCCAGTCTGATGTTGTCGCTAAATTTCTTCATCATTTTTTTGTTTTTGGTCAATTCCAGTGAACCATTTTTTTCTTAGTTTTTGTATGTGTTGGGTTTTTATTTTGGTTGACATTTGAGGGGGTTGAATTAATCCCCGAGGTCAAAGATTAATCCAGTCAAGATAATCCAACTAACCTAACTTAATCTAACCTATCAAACCATTAACCTAACCCAACACACCATTAACCTCAGTAACTTGACCACTAACCTAGCCTAACCTAACCTTGTCCTTAACCTAACCTAACCTTATCCCCTAACCTAACCGCACCCCCTTAATTTAAACGTGTGTGTGTGTGTGTGTCTGTGTGTGTGTTTATGTGTGAGTTAGTGTATGCGTATATATATATTTGTGTGTGTGTGTGTGACTTATTATCGAGAAACACATCGACTTTGATGGCACAACAAGTCACTAAAAACAGGCGTGTAATATTCTTACGCTTGCCAGGTCTCAATAACATCCAGTATAGGAAATACTGGACCTGAGTTATTAATGAAAGAGCTATTGAGAACCGTGGAGCCATGATAAATCGAGGCATTGACACTCTTTGACACACCTTGGCACTCCTTGACACTCTTTGACACACCTTGACCTCTTTGACACACCTTAGCACACCTTGACACTCTTTGACACACCTTGGCACTCCTTGACCACTTTGACACACCTTGGCACTTTTTGACCTCTTTGACACACCTTGGACACACCTCACACCTTGACACTCTTTGACACACCTTGGCACTCCTTGACACTTTGACACACCTTGGCACTTTTTGACCTCTTTGACACACCTTGGCACTCCTTGACACTCTTTGACACACCTTGGCACTCCTTGACACTCTTTGACACACCTTGGCACTCCATGACACTCTTTGTACACCTTGGCACTCCTTGACACTCTTTGACCCCTGGCACTCCTTGACACTCTTTGACCTCCATGACCTCTTTGACTCCTTGGCACTCCTTGGCACTTCTTGACTAGAGACATCCCTCACCCCAACCTTCCCAAAGACACCTTACTCTACCCCAGACCCCAAAGACACCCCTACTCTACCCCAGACCCAAAGACACCCCTTACTCTACCCCATACCCAAAGACACCCATACTCCCCCCATACCCAAAGACACCCATTACTCTACTCCAGACCCCAGAGACACCCATTACTCTACCCAGACCTATATACCCTTACTCTCTCCAGACCCCAGAGACACCCATTACTCTACTCCAGACCCCAAAGACACCTTACTCTACCCCAGACCCAAAAAGACCTACCCCATACCCAAAGACACCCCTTACTCTACTCCAGACCCCAGAACACCTTACTCTAATCCAGACCCCAGAGACACCCATTACTCTCCCCCAGACCCTCACCCTTACTCTACTCCAGACCCCATACACCCCTTTACCCCAAAGACACCTACTCTACCCCAGACCCAAAAGCACCCTTACTCTACCCCCATACCCAAAAAGACACCCCTTACTCTCTCCAGACCCCAGAGACACCCATTACTCTACTCCAGACCCCAGAGACACCCATTACTCTACCCCAGACCCCATATACACCCCTTACTCTACTCCAGACCCCAGAGACACCCATTACTCCACCCCCAAACCCCAGAGCATCCTTACTAGACCCCCAGAAAGTCCCCCTTACTCCACCCTCTTATCAAAAATCTTAATGCTGGGAAATAAACTCCTGTTAGTACTTTGACGTCTTGACAACACCGTAAACTATTATTATTATTATTATTATTATTATTATTATTATTATTATTATTATTATTATTATTATTATTATTATTATTATTATTATTATTATTATTATTATTATTATTATTATTATTATTATTATTATTATTATAAATGCCGCACCTCCAGCCCTATTACGCTTCAATTCTAATAGATTATAACTTAACCTTGTCTAATCCATTTAAATTGGTCCATAATCTCAATCATTACGTTGGGTCAGGTTGTAACTGGCTGGTCTAACTTCACCTCATGATTAAAACTCGGCACTGTAAGTCGATCACCCTTTAAGGTATTATAATTTTGTTCCCTTTATGGTCACAGATTCTTTAAAAAGGAATAATTATTAAAGGTATTTCTTAATGGTATTAAATAGTCCATCAATGTGAGTAATTATAGAGAATAAATAACCGGGAGATTCACTTACAATTATAGAGAATAAATAACCGAGAGACTCACTTAAAATTATAGAGAATAAATAACAGACTCACTTAAAATTATAGAGAATAAATAACGGAAGATTCACTTAAAATTATAGAGAATAAATAACAGAGACACTCTTAAAATTATAAAGAATAAAACCTAACCTGAACCAACACACCTCAAAGAAGTTCGTCTTCATTTCATGTGATTTTTTCCCTCCTGCAGTAGTGGTGAGAGGCGTGTGAGAACCTCACCTTTAAGCACATCTTGGCATTGAGTTTTTTACCCCATCCATAAATCAGTCACCGGGGAAAGAATTTCAAAACAAAACTCTACGATTCCTGAAACAGTTCCTTTGTGCTTTGAAGCATTTATTATCTACAGTAAATGTGTGTGGGGGGGGGGGGTTGGGGGGGTGAGTGGAAATATGTTTCTAAATGCGTACCTGTATGCATATCCTTTGCTATTTTATACATACGACTTTAAACACATATACATTACATACACACAAACACACAGGTATACATATCATCACATATGTGTATTACTGAACAATCTGGCCCTCTTGGAGACCTAACTTAACTCTGTCTTGTTTGACTTTGAGATGATGATGAAGTTGGCTGAATCTATTAATGTGTGTACGAGGAGGCGTGTTACTTGTTACATACAGTAATACTCATATGTTACCCCACCACGTTTATGTTACTGTCACCTTGTGGGACTCGACCCTATTGTACTTCAAGTGTAAATCTACTTTGTGCTGAAAATTTCTGAAGGTAATATTGATAAAACACCTTCAACATGATATAACTTCCATCAGATCACTGTCAAAAGTTTGTTGATGCTTCTCTGTTTAGGTTAAGATACAGTAGGTAAGGTGAGGGTAAATTAGGTGACTGGAGGTTAATTTATGTTAATTTATTCCGTGTTTTTTTGTCACGTTTATTTTTTATACTGAAGTAAAGATCACGAAGGTAGATTTATATGAAGTGAAGGATGATGAGGAGGAGATGGTTGGGCCCCAGTCCTAAGAGGCCCCAATCCCGAGAAGACCCCCAGCGAAATTAGACCATTAGGATAGGACCCCATTATGGATTAGGCAGCATTTAAATTGAGGCCAAAAAGGACCACCCCCATATCCTAATTTTTAGGTTAGGTTAGGTTAGGTTAGGTTAGGACTGGGATCCTTTTGACCAGACATCAGAGGAAACAAGTGAAGGAAGCTTGCACAGAGGCGTTGGTGTTCTGGGTAAACAACTTAATATTATCCGTGTCTCTGTGTTCACGTACTGACGATGTTCTGTCTTCTGTTACAGGATGAACGTGGTGGTGGCGAGAGCTCTGGCCCCTGAGTACGACCTTCCTGGAGGCGAGGGCAGTCCCGCGTCAGTGCCACCACCACCATCACCTCTATCACCGTCATCATCAGCAGTGCCACTACCATCATCGTCATCAGTGCCAAGAAGCCCCGCCGTGCCTTCCCTCACTCCCTCGCTCAAAGCCGCCTTCTCGGCCTCCACCTTCCATGCCGTCAATGTGCTCCTCCACGCCGCCGTCACTGCTGCCTATGTGGGCGTGCTGCAGTGCGTGGGCGTCGGGGCGTGGGCGTGCCTTGGGGCCGGGTCACTCTTCGCCGCCCACCCTGTGCATGTTGAGGCTGTAGCAGGCGTGGTAGGCCGGGCGGAGCTCTTGGCCGCCCTGGCCTTCTGTCTCGCCCTGGCCGCCTACATCAGGTATCTCCGCGGGCGTGCGACGGGACGGGCGTGGGCGCGGAGGTTGAGCGGGTGCGGGCACGGGTGTATCTGCTTGGAGGACAGCCCGGGGGTCTCCAGGTCGCTCTCCTGCTCCACTATCTCATGGGGCTCCAAGAGCAGGTGGTCGGTGCAGCTGCCGTCATGGGCGTGGCTGGCGTTGAGCGTGGCGGGGGCGGGAGTGGCCATGGCGTGCAAGGAGCAGGGCGTGACGGCGTTGGGGGTCGGCCTCCTCCTCCACGCAGCGGCTGTTGTCACCATCACCCCCAGGAACAAGGTGAGGACCTCCTCCCTCTCTCACTGTTGTCACCTTCATCACCACCATTATCATCCTCAACACTACCATCACCATCATTCCCAACAACATCACTATCATCCCCACCACCCCCACCACCATCACCGCCATTATCACCCTTATTACTCATTAACTTTAAGGACTCAAAACTAATGTAAAAAAAAATAACGTATATTTTCTCTCTCAATAAATTGCCACTGACCCGGACCCGGCTCTCGATTTATTACCACATGAGAGCTGTGTATACATTCCCTTGTGTATACCATCTCCTGTGTATACCATCTCCTGTGTATACCATCTCCTGTGTATACCATCTCCTGTGTATACCATCTCCTGTGTATACCATCTCCTGTGTATACCATCTCCTGTGTATACCATCTCCTGTGTATACCATCTCCTGTGTATACCATCTCCTGTGTATACCATCTCCTGTGTATACCATCTCCTGTGTATACCATCTCCTGTGTATACCATCTCCTGTGTATACAATCTCCTGTGTACACCATCTCCTGTGTATACCACCTCCTGTGTATACCATCTCCTGTGTACACCATCTCATGTGTACAGAATACAGTCGTCACCAGCAAGAGGCAGTTTAGGTCAGAGTACACAGGCGATATGAGCCGTAGTCAGTGATGCTCACAATCCAAAACTAACCAAAGTTCATGTATATTGGTTAGGTTAGGTTAGGTTAGGTTAGATTAGGTTACTTGGTTGAGTTGAGTTAGATTAGGTTAGGTAAAGTTAGTTATGTTAGTTTAGGTGACGTTGGTTAAGTTAGGTTAGTTTAGTTGGTTGAGTTGATTGATTGATTGATTGAAACAGTTTATTTAGCCAGAAAAACACAGGTCCAGAGTGGATAATAATAACAATATTAACATGGCTGAGCCAGTTGAGAACCTGAGCTCTCTTTGAGGCACCTGATATATACTATACATTTATCTCAAGGAAGTATTATGTAACATTTAGTATCATCTGGAATAGTACAATAGCATGGTGGTAATAAGAACATCTCATAATGTTACCACGGTTATCACTTCAATGTTTATTTATTTTATTTATTTATTATTATTTTTATTTATTTTTGTATTTATATTATAAGTATATACATAAATTACAGTGGAATTGAAAGACATAAGTATAATGGTAATTACTTATCTATTTACATGATAATTTCCGATAAAACGGTTTTCATGGTACAATAAAAGCAGGTACTGTAAATATAGCAGGTGTTACAAGAAATATTAGCTTAGTTTAGTTGGTTGAATTAGCTTAGGTTAGTTGATTGGTTAAGTTCGATTATGTTGGATTAAATCAGGTTATAGGTTTATGTTAGGTTGATTAATTTGGGTTAGTTTCGGTTGGTAGATCAGGTTGTTTCGTGTCTGGTTCCATAAATGACTTGTCAATCTATCAATTAAACTTTTATTCACATTAACTTTTGGTTTAAAGAAGGTTTTAGCTCTCGATGAAAACCCAATACACACAATATTCATTACACCATAAGCTGACCAACACAGAGGGGGTGAGTGTAGGGAGTGGTCATGATGTGGTGTTGGAGATGATGGTGGTGGTGGTGGTGAGGAATGGAGGAGGAGGAGAGGAATGATGTGGAAGGGGTGGTCAGGGTAGTGGTGGTGTTGGTGGTTGTAGTGGTGGTGAGGAAGGGAGGAGGAGGAGAGGAATAATGTGGAAGGGGTGGTCAGGGTAGTGGTGGTGGTGGTGGTTGTAGTGGTGGTGAAGAAAGGAAGACAGGTAGAAGAAAGAAAGAAAGAAAGAGAGAAATGATGATAGTCGTCTTGGTGGTCGTAGTCGTGAGGAAGAAAGGAAGAAAGTAAAGCTAATAACACTCACCATTGTCGTTTTTCACCAGCCTGAGTAAAGAGGAACATTCATCACTGTGTAATATGTCGTCCTCGGCACGTGTTTGGGAAGAGGGAAATTCACACTGGTCGAGACTCAAGGGAGGGACATGTGTGGCTCTACATAGTTAATGAGAACACTTTTTTAGGGGGTCATTATTCACTGGGACGAGGATGTAAAGTTTAAAATGCACTGTCCCGCTCCCTACTTTGTTGTTACTGTGACAGACAGAAGGGGAAGGTGGCAGTGGTGGTAGGATGGTGTCAGAAGATGAAGGAGAGTGGTAGTGGTGGTAGAATGATGTCAGAGGAGGAAGGAGGGAAGGTGGCAATGGTAGTACGATGCTGTATCAGTGACTGGACAAATGAGTTCCAGTCCTCATAGGTCCTAATCTAAACTTAATGGGTTGAATTTGGTGTGATTACTTCGAGTCTACTGTCGCAAATATTCGGTTTACAAACTCAGTAGCAGAAATATATTGAGAGCTGGTCTCGGGTCGGTAGCATCAGCTTTTATAAATGTGTGTCATTGGTTATTAGCAAGAATTGTGTACCAGTAGCTGTTATTACTGATCCAGAGACAGTCATTATAGTCTATGTAACGATGTGTGTTGTACATGATCATTCTGTGCACCAGTGAAGGTTCTGTTCTTTGTGTTACAGTCTGTGGTCCAGGCGCTGATCCGGGAGCTGTGGCCGGGTAGCGTGGGGACGCTAGTGCTGCTGTGGGCGCGAGTGAGTGTGGCACCCCACACGCCCAGTTTCACGCCCGCGGACAACCCAGCCGCCCATGCCCATTCCCTGCTCACGCGTGCTCTTAGTATCGCTCGAGGGTGGGCGGTTCATGGGCGCCTCTTAGTGTGGCCTGCGACCCTCTCATTCGACTGGTCGATGGGCGCCGTCCCCCTGGTGACCTCCCTCAGCGACCCGGCCAACCTCGAGACTGCACTATTGGTGGGGTCAGTAGGCGTCCTGGCTGTCACCGCCGCCTCAGCCTGCTGGAGAGCACGACAACACCTCAACCTGACCACCAAGATGTACACATATCACAACCAGCACGCCTACCACGACGTGCTGAACAACAACGTGCAGCACGGCGATGTCACCACCCACCCGGCGTACCACCTGCAGCACCGTGCTGTCTGCTGGCACCTCAGCCCCCTCTTACTGGTGCTGGCCTGGGGTCTCCTCGTCTTGCCCTTCCTCCCGGCCTCCAACCTTGCCGCCTACGTAGGCTTCGTGGTGGCTGAGCGAGTCCTCTACCTTCCCTCTATGGGCGCCTGTCTGCTGGTGGCTCTAGGCTGCCAGGTAATCTGGCGCACCATAGGCACAAACAAGTGGCATCGAACAGGTGAGTTGGACCCGAGACTCACTTAATACCAGACCCAGAACTTGCCTTAAACTGGTCTGACTTAACCTACCCTACCCAAGCTCAACCAACCCCTACCCTACCTTGCCTTGCCTTGCCTTGCCTTGCCTTGCCTTGCCTTGCCTTGCCTTGCCTTGCCTTGCCTTGCCTTGCCTTACCTTACCTTACCTTACCTTACCTTACCTTACCTACTCGACTTTCATAAGCCTTATTTACTCTGGTGACTTACCTGTAATATTAATTAGTTATAAGCTACATATAACCACGAACAAAAGTAAATTCTCTAAGTGATTTTACAAATTCTGTGATTCTTGTTTATGATCACAATGTATGTGTGTCTGTTCTCTTGTCTCTACTTCTTCTTCTACTTCTACGGGAGATGGATGATGAGAAACAGAAACATCAGGAACGGAACCATACTGCAAAGAGTGATGTTAGACAAATGTAAAAAGTCACTAGAACACACACACACACAGACACACACACACACACACACACATTCACTCTCTCTCTCTCTCTCTCTCTCTCTCTCTCTCTCTCTCTCTCTCTCTCTCTCTCTCTCTCTCTCTCTTGTTCAAATCCTTAACATACAAATCACACCAAGTGAATCCTTCTCCCTTCTACAATGATTCACAAAGCCTCTTAAAATAAAACCTATGCATATATTAACTTCCAATAACACTACCCACACCATCTCTCAACTCTCCTTCCTTTTAATTTTCAGGGAGTTGTAGTAGAAGCAGAACTCCTCGGGGTGGCAGTGGGTGGCGGAGGGCGGCTTGACCATGGCCGGGGCGTGGGTGGCACTCTTACTGCTCTTGTCTGCCAGAACTCTCAGAAGAAACCAAGACTGGGAGAGCGATGAGTCCCTTTATCGAGCTGGTGTGGCCGTCAATCCTCCCTAGGGTGAGTGTTGGATTGTTTCTCTCACAGATATCCATATTCCATGAATGTATTTTTACACTTTCAGTATAAGGTTTTTATGCATTCTGATAAGTATACATATAGGATATACATAGACATGCATATATACAAGGTGGCACACACATGAACACACACATACACACACACACACACACACACACACACACACACACACACACACACACACACACACACACACACACTCATCTTGTCGGGGTGGGGTCATATTTATTGTTCCATTTTGTACCATTTTCTTCCTTCGTGCTGTGAATAATATCCTGAATATATTGTGGGAAGGTTATGAATATATTTTGGTCAGGCTCGTGTGTTTGTAAACAGCCATAAGCACCTGAGACACACCTCGTACAGTCAGTCCCCTTCACTAGTGCGTTTACAGGGGCTCGTCGTCAGGTTTTGTGCATCGCTGTGTTTGTTTACATTCGCAGAAGGAAACTCACAATAGTAAACACACTGTGGAATCAAATTAAAACAATGTTAAAACAAATATCTCAATGTAATGATTTGTGGAATGTTTATATATAACGAGCTCCTGTAAACGTACTAGTGAAGGGGACTGTACATAGTGAATCTGATTCAGAGGGGTAACTTGGGGTAGAAAATACAATATATCTTCTCTCTCTTCGCGTAAAGTAATCCTGAAAGGTGAAAATATTCTAAGAAATATCATTGGAATATTATTATTTTCATATCAATTACCTGACAGTCCTAGGGTGTTGATGACGTCATGAGAGGTATTAGCGTTTATATGTCTGTCTAACTAAAAGGTTTACGGTGCCGTTTTGTGTTATTTATACTATTATTTTTGTTTGTTATTATTTTGGTTTTGGTTATTAAAGTGTATTTTATCCATTTTATGAACCGTATTTAAGATTACACTGAGCAACTACAGAACAAGCTGCTATTGAGGTCTTCTTTCTTTGTCTTTATACACTCTCTCTCCTTCCCTTCCTCCTCCTTTTATTCCTCCTTCTCTTCCTTTTCTTCCTTATCTTCCTTCAGGTTTCTCCTTCCCCTCTCTCTCTATCTTTAGTCTTCTCTATCCTTTGTTCCTTACCTTTTCGCCTTTCCTTTTCATTTCATCACTATCCTCCTATTCTCACATTCCTCCTCCTTTCTCCTTTTCTATTACGCTTCTCCTTTCTGTCTTTCTTCATCCTTCCCCCATCTCATTTTTTTACCCCTTCTCATCTTTATCCTTTCCTCACTCTTCCCCTTCCCTCCCACTCCTCTTCCCCTTTACTCTCCCCTTTTCTCTCCTAACACCCTTTACCCGTAATCTTCCTCTAACTTTCTCCCCGCCTTCTCCCCACTCACATTACTCACCCTCCCCGTCTCTCCCATTATTCACCCTCCCCTATCCCCTCACTTTCCTTCCCTTTTCCCTTCATTTCCACCCACTTCTTCTCACTGCCCCCCTTTTCCCTTCAGCTCCCCCTCACTGCTCCTTCCCTCACCTCCCACTCTCCCCTCCTCTCCGTCACCCCCTCCTCTCTCCCTCACCTCCCCTCCTCTCTCCCTAACTCAGCATATGGTCACACATTAATCTCTCTTTCATTCTGGGTAACTTTTCTTCGTGTGATCATAGCCGTGTCTCTTTGATGTTGTACCACAGTTAATAAAGCGACCATAAGTTACCTAAAGCGCGAGGGGCCATTTTACCTGTCTTGTGTGATGTCGTTTTGTGTGATGATGATGATGATGATGATGATGATGATGATGTTCTTAATGGCAGTATTAATAATGATGACAATAATAGTGATACTACTACTACTACTACTAGTACTACTTATATTACTTTTTTTTAAACGTGGCCTCCAGCCTCCCCCAATAGCCACACCTTCGCCACCATTTTATTACCTTAATATTAAATATCCTAATACATAAGTAGCTACCCTGGCTGTGTTGAGTTAGTTAAGCCGCAGATCTATGTGGCATTCAGTGACTGTAGCCTCATAGTCAATATCTGCTACTACTGTTACTACTTCTACTACTACAAATAATAAAAATAATAATAATAATAATATTATTATTATTATTATTATTATTATTATTATTATTATTATTATTATTATTATTATTATTATTATTATTATTATTATTATTAATATTATTAATATTATTATTATTATTATTATTATTATTTATTATTATTATTATTAACACACTTATTCGCACACACGCACACACACACACACCTGCATCCAACCACACACCACGCACACAACCCCCCCGCCCCCACCCACCCCGGACACCCACCCATCCACCTACCCACCTACCCATCCCCTACAGGTAGGTGGGTGGGTGTAGGGCCTACACCCACATTTCATCTCGTGTAATATAAAAATTGCCCCTCCTAACCATAACCTTTGAGCAACACGACCATTAATACATCAATCCTAAATGTTACCAGTTTCACCAATTTTACCAATTTTGAGTTTTTAACCAATTTGTCAGTCATCTCGATCGTCTCTTCTCCTACATGTCAAGAAGATCAAGAAGATGTTACTTAATACTTACGTGATTTGAGTCTAAGATGTTCCCATAATTTAAGATATTTTACCTTAATATTTCGTTCGTTTTCTGTAATGTAGAACTGTTGTCTCCGCTTGCCTCTATGATCGATGTATTTGATTAATGATTTTTCCTATTTGATATTTTTGGGGGGGTTGATTTCCTTTATAAATTGTATCTGTCTTATCAACCCAATGACCGTCTATTTATCATTCTCAGGGCGTGAAGAAATAGTTTTGTCTGTTTGTTTGTTTGTGAGTCGAGTGTGTGTTTGCTTGTGAGTTGTGTTCTTTCGTTTGCTAGTCTTGTTCTTTCGTTTGTGAGTTATGCACTTTCGTTTGTGAGTCGTGTCCATTTGTTTGTGAGTCATGTCCGTTCGTTTGTGAGTCATGTCCAATTGTATATGTTTCTATAGTCTGCATGAAGAACCAAGAGGCTTAGGACATTCTTATATGACCCAAATGTCCAACTTAATGGTGCCAAGGTTGAGTTATGAAAGGACTTGTGTGTGGCCCCAGTGTTCTCCTGGGCCCGGATGATTAGCCACTTAGGGGACGCATTCATTCTTGTCATTGAGAGAAAGAAGTTATGATTGGTTGATTGATTCTGATTCACCAGCTTTTGGTAACTCCCATCTACTCTCTCTCTCTCTCTCTCTCTCTCTCTCTCTCTCTCTCTCTCTCTCTCTCTCTCTCTCTCTCTCTCTCTCTCTCTCTCTCTCTCTCTTGCTCAGTTCCCTATGGAGGAAAATACTCCTTCCTCTGGCCAATCCTTCAAGCCTCCTGCCTACCATCCCTACTCCCTCCAGCCCTCTGCCTTGGGGGAATCGCAAGACCCAGTCCAATCACACCACTCTATCTGTAAGCTCTCTCTCAAATCCCTCTTTATCCACTTCTTCTTCCCTCTTTATCCACCTTTTCCCTTTTGTGGTTCTCGTATCCGAATTCCTCTTTATCCTCTTCTTCTCCTTGTTCTCTACTTCATCCACTTTATTTGATCGCCCTATTTTTTCCTTCTCTTACTCCTCTTCCTCCTCCACCTGCTGTTTCCTCTTCTTATTCACTTCCGTCTTTTCTCCTTTCATCATCCCGCTACCAATCCCCATTTTCTTTATCTCTCTTCCTCGTTGACCATCTATACCGACTGTTGTCCTCTCCCCCACCCACTTCCCTCCCCTCCTCTTTCTTCTTCCTTCGCTTACTATTTCCTATTATTCTTCCCTCGTTCATTCCTTCCATCTCTCCCTCATTCACTCCTCCCCTCTCTCCTTCTCTCCCTCTCACACTCCCTCCCTCTCCCCTCTTCTCTTCCTCTCTCGTTCACCGTCAGCCTCTCGTTCAGCCCACCACAACAATCTCCTCCCCGGCAGTAGCTCGTTACATGGGAGTGTGTTGACTGAGAGACGCGGACACAACCTCCCTCTGTGTTATCGATAATGGAAACCAGACCTAAGTTAAACACGCCTGAGTACTCGACGATGATGGCAGCTTCCAAGACTACCGTTGTCCTCACCACACTCCTCCTGGGAGATGGTGGTAGTGGTGGTGGTATTGAGGGGAAGAGGTGGTGGTGCTGCTGGTGGTGGTGCTAGTGTTGAGGGAAGGAGGAGGTGGTAATGGTGTTGAGGGAAGGAGGAGGTGGTGGTGGTGTTGAGGAAAGAAGGTGGTAGTGGTGGTGGTGGTGAGGAAAGGAGGAGGTGGTAATGGTGTTGAGGGAAGGAGGAGGTGGTATTGAGTGGGAAGAGGTGGTGGTGAGTGTGGGGAGGAGGAGGTGGTAATGGTGTTGAGGGAGGAGGAGGAGGTGGTGGTGAGTGTTGAGGAAGAGGTGGTAGTGGTGGTGGTGGTGCTGAGGAAAGAAGGTGGTAGTGGTGGTGGTGGTGAGGGAAGGAGGAGGTGGTGGTGGTGTTGAGGAAAGGAGGAGGTGGTAATGGTGTTGAGGGAAGGAGTAGGTGGTGGTGGTGTTGAGGGAAGGAGGAGGTGGTGATAGTGATGATAAGGAAAGAAAATAAGAGGAAGTACTGTAGTAATCGTAGTGAAGAAAGATGACGATGATAATTCTACCTAATGTAATAATGAACAATGGGATAGGAAAACAGAAAAAATAAATAAAATAAAATACAATAAACCGAAAAAGACCTAAAAAAAGAAAATCTCAATTAAATAAGAGAAAATACAAAAACAAATAATAAAATACGTCTCATATATTCGTGATAATCAATTCAATAACTTTTTTTGTGTGTGTGTGCAGCTGCGAGCTTTCCCAAGTTTGTTTACACTCGGGGGCCTATAAAGGATAGGAAGAAAGACGGGAAAAAGAAATAGTTGTAATTCCAATAATATGAAAATACGAAAATTGGGAAGAACAAAAACAGTGCCAGAGTTTTTTTTTGTTATTGTTGATGTTGTCTTTTTTTATCGTTATTGCAGTTGTTATCCTCGTCGTTGTCGCTA